GGGGGTAAGGAAGAATTGAGGGGGAGGGGAAGCTTGGAGTCTAATTCGTTTATCCGGTAGATAAGGATGCATATGCAAGCTCAGGTGCTTGATGTGCTGATGGGATAGCATAATATCCGTTGCAGGGGTTTGTTGGCTCGTTCAATTATCCAGGCACAATCGTATTCTCCGACGTTCTCCAATGTCTACGCAGCGATGGTTGCAATCATCAACAGCCACTTTCCGAATATCGGCAAACTGATAATCCATCGGCTTCTCACGCAATTCAAGCGATGTTATCGACGAAACGACAAAACAGCAACTGTGGTGATATCCAAATTCATCGCTCATCTCATCAATCAACAAGTTGTAAGTGCTTTCACTCAGTAGACCACTGCTTGATGCTTAAGTTGAGTAAAATGAAAAAAAATTAACTTTTCGTCTCCTTCCTCAAGATTATGTTCTCGAGTTAGCAATTTTCCTGCAAGAAGTTTTCGCGGACAGAACTACGTACACTTGGGAGCGGAGTTTGAAGTTACCAGATTGTTCATGGACGAAGAACACCTCCTTAAGATTCTAGCTTGTTAGCTTTTCAGTTTCCCCGAGTTAGCAACCAACTCGCAAAAAATTTTCAAGGACCCGTACATGGGAACTACGCATAACTGGGGGCTGGGTTTGAACTCACTAAGACCTACCTGGACAGGGAACATCCCTTCAAAATTCCAGCATTCTACCTTTTCAGGTTCCCGAGTTAGCGACTTGTCCGCAAAAAACTTTCACGGTCTCGTACGTGGGAACAGGCTGAATTTGAATTCATTAAGTTCTACGTAAACGGGGAAGGTTCCCTTAAAATTTCATCCTTTTAGCTTTCCGGACGGCATGATATACCTGTGAAGAAATAGAATAAGGTATGATCAGCATGATATTTCAAAAAATGTACATAAGAAATCAAGAAACGCAGATCTATCCAGCTACAAGCTTATAAATTTATCAAAATATTATGATTTTCCCGAAATGGATAATCGTAAACCCACTGTCTTAAATAGTCTTAATGCAGAAAGCGTCATAAACATAATTTTGCAGCATTTATGCTAACCATATATCATCGATGTTTTATACAGATTTCACATCAACTTTTACAGATTCATGAGATTCTTGCACTTGACATGATGATATTGATGCTTGAGAATCCAACGGATGATTCAATCGAAGTGACGGTAGCTTTTTTGAAAGAATGTGGTGCGAAACTTTCCGAAATTTCGCCTGCTGGCTTAAATGGCAAGTATCTTGTCAATTTTTCTTTTTTCTTACCCCCTTCTTATCCCATTTACACTCCATAATTCTACGATCACAGCGTCCCACTTTCTTTCATTTCCCCTTCTCATTAAGCATTGCAACCGTTATATTGACAAGGTTCAGTAGCAGTGTTGAGTTAAGACGTATATGACTTAATGGACCGAAACGTCTTGTCTCACTCTTGCCTTCTGTCCTGTACCGCTCTTTCTTTCTGAATTCCATTGTACCTTCGCCACCTACGCTTCAAGGG